GGGCGTCGCCGGGGGCGGGAGTGCTCGCGGCTGGGCCCGAAGCGACGGCGTCTCCCCCCCCCGCTAGTGGCTGCACCGCCGTCGGCGACTGTTTGGGTCGCGGAGCCGCGTTTCGCTTCTTATGCCCCATATATCAACTCTCTATCAATCCAACTCACATGCATATATATAAAATTTTATGTATGTTATCTTTATGTCTATCATATATATATGTGTGTGTACGTATAGAGGGAGAAAGTTTTAGAGAGAGAGAGAGAGGGAGAGGGGTACTTACTGGGGGGACGATGTTGGGGGTATAATTGGAATTTTACAAGGGCACGGAGGCGATTAGTGATCGGAGATGATATCCAGAGAGGTGGAGAGGGAGAGACAGACAGACACACTACCTAATACTTCTAGTACCAGTGCCCATGGAACAGGGTCTTGGGGTGTTTGAGGAGGAATTAAATAATTAAGCTAAAAAGCACATTAAGGTTTAGGGCTGGTTTGACAGTGATTCTAAATAGAATTGCTTCAGAAAGAAGTGCCTCCTATGTGATTCTTCATAAAATCACTAAAATTTAGTAATTCTAGAGAGAAGCACCTCCAATGTGCTTCCCCATAAAATCACTTAAATCCACTTAAAAGTGATTATTTGAAAAAGTGATTATTGGCTTATCCAAAATCACTGCCTAATGAGCCATTAATCAAATACCTGAAAATGTTTTTAATTAAGGTTTTTTGGTTTTAGATTATGTTTTTAATTGCGTTAAAGCCAATTTGATATTGTTGTGCTGTTTGGTAAACTTTTTGTTAAAAGTGTTGTTGTTACTGATTACCGCATAATCAAAAAATTATTGCCGCATAATAATTAAACACAGCGCCTCTTCAAAACTGATTCCTGCATAATCAGAAAATGAAAGCACCTCATTAGCTGCTTTTTTCATAGCTTTCTTTCACAGCAATTTTTAATAATAATTGATTTTCTCATAATTTACGAAACAGGCTTGAATTCCCAAATTTTTTTTAAAATTACTTATTTCCCCAAATAAGCAATGTCAAACGGACACTTACTGGGTTGATCAAGAAAATAAAAGTAAGTTAGTAGGGGGTAAGGCAATGTCTATGGTTTTCTTTGAGAAGGATTTTCCTTTTTTGAAAAGAAAAGTTTTACTTTCCCCAAGATAATAAAAGATATGCAATAATTGACAACAACAAAAATAGTGGAATTTGATTTTTGTTTTTCCTTTTTGTTGCATCAGAATCTTCCCGAGTTTGATGTCTTTGAGGATTTGAATTTCAAAGATAAATCAATTCACAACTGATACATGTAAACTTTGTCTGGAATTCATGATCAAAGTATGATTCTGATTTTTAAAATTAAAAAAAATAGAAATTGGTGAGAAATAAAAAATTTTGATTAACAAGTATTTCTCTTTTGTTGAAAGAAGTATCATCTTCAAATCCTCTACCTACCTTTTTTTTTTAATATCCCCATTTTTCTTTTGGGTTAAAAGTAAATTAATGGAATGCGATTAATAATATAAGCCCAAAAAGAAACAAAGAAAACAACAAATAAAAAATTTAGTCTCAATCTTATTAGAATAATGTACACTTTTTTTTTTCTTTTTCATAAGTTGATATTTTAAATTACTCTAATTTATGAGGAGAGTGATTCGAACTCGAATTAGAAGAAACAGACACACGGTCCTAATTAACAAACATTTGCGGACTATATCCGGAGGAAAAAAAAAGAATTGAAGATACAGAGTTTGCTTTATATGGAGCAACATGATGTATAACAACAAGGTAGACAGGTTAACAAAGAAAGCAGTTATAAGAGTAGAGAGCCAGAGACGGCAACAACCAGCTGAAATAATTCCCCCTAATCCCAAAAGGAGATTCTGCTACATTATTATGTCATCTCCTAGTCGTTTGTTTTTCAGTTTACAGGTTTTACACCAATCAAATTGTAGTTCAATAAAAGCATGCACCAACTACAACATATAATTAAGATATTGCCAAGAAATGCACTTTGAGCCTTAAGCCCTGCAGAGGTTCTCAACATTCAACCCACCAATTTTTTATATATTTTCTTTTCTTATTCTGACAGAACCAGCCACACCAACTTTGAGTCCAAAGAATAAAAAGAGAGAAAAGATGCACACCAACTTAATAGTCAATCTCAACTACCTACACTACAAAAGTTGGGGGAATAATTCCACATTTTCAACTAATTTCTGTCTGTTGGATGGGCAGTTGTCTTTGGTGGAGTTGATGATGTAGAACAATAATCAAACACAACCCAGGATTAGTCTTCTGCCTGAATATTCAAAGCAAGACTATTATTTTGAAACCAAGAGGTAATAGATGAACGATTAATGGCTTGCTGCAACTGAATATCACCAAGCCAAACCTGTATTTCTGCTAGCTCTGCTGTATATCCTGTTTTAAAACTTGAATAAAATCCATAATCAGGGTTCTGCTACTGGTGAAAATAGAACTTATTCATTTACCTAGAAATAGCTGCCCATGGCATGAGAACAGCATAAATACATAGTCTGCAAATACATAGTCTTCATGATACATAAAGGCACTAATCAACACCAACTCTGCTCATCTTTCCCGCTGAGAAAGAACAAAAATCGTGCGGCAATGACAGAAAGGAAGCATTACCAACTTACAATAAATGCATTCGCTCCACATAAGATTGGAGCAACCATTTATTAAGAGGCTCCCCACATCCTACAAAACACCCAGAATTGCCATTTTCAGTGAAGAATGGAAAGCTAAACATATTAAGTAGTTCTTCCACTGCCTGCCTCACCAAAGAAGATCCTGTCACCCTGCTCCGCCGGCCCCATCCAGTCACAATATCAATTCGGCTTGGACAAATCCCAGATATTAGCATTTGTTGGCGAAACCAAGCAAGCGTCCTGGACAGTGCTGTCACGGCAGTACCATCAGACATAACATGCAGGTTTATAAGCCAATAACATGAGCTTTTCTCTTTAATGGCATCCGGATAAACATTCTTTTGTGCAGCCACCTCCCAGACTGAACCAGCCTCCTCCTTTAGCCCTGACTTGTGAAGAAAATCCACTACTGCATCTACAAGCCCCCTCTTGCTTTCTCTATCCTCGCTATGCATCAGATCCAAGAACCTGCTCATGTGCTCTCGCACATTTTGACCATCAGGTCCCGCTGATGGCATAGACAGTAGGAATGTGTGTGCAGGATGGCCTGTAACGGCCATAAGCTCACAACAAAAGTCCATGTCATATGGTGACCGTGCTTCTGTGCAACAACTGAGAAGCAAGGTATATGTCTGCAGAGAAGGGTTCAGACCTAAACCCATCATGCTCTGTAGCAAGTTATAAGCATCAGACAGCTGGTGCACCCTAAGAAAAGCACTGAGCAGAGAATTGCAAGTAGGAACATTAGGCCGTAAACCCGCATGGAGCATTGCTTGATACCAATTCCAGGCTTTTCTGACGTTACCTGCCTTACCCCACAAATCTACCAAAAGACCATAAACAGGTTCATCAGGTACCCAGTTCTTCCGTTTCATTTCACCAAAAATCGCCTCTGCTTCCTCAAGATACCCACAATGGCCAAGCACCTCCATTACTATGCTATAAGTGACTTTATCTGGTTCAAATCCAGCACCTTGCATGTCACGGTAGAGCTTTAAAGCAGTCTCATAATTCCTTGCTTTGGCCTGCAAAGCTATCATGATATTATACGTGACCAAATTAGGAACACAACCCTGATTAACCATCTCACAGAACAGACGGTGAGCAGCAGCTAAATGGCCAGCTTTTCCAAGACAGTTGATCATTACACTGTAAGTGAATGTGTCAGGAGAAAGACCAGCCTCTTGCATCCCATCATACAGTCGTAGGGCAACATCAAGAAACCCAGCTTTTGCATGGATGTCAATTAGTGTGCAGTAGGTGACACGGTCAGGTTCACACCCTGCTTCTTGCATTTGGTTGAACACATTCATTGCTTCTTTCAAATAGTTTGCACGACCATAACTATGAATCAGCCGGTTATATGTCACAACATTTGGCTGGCATCCTTCTTTCACCATCTGATCAAGCAATTTGTTAATGGCACCAAACTGCCTGGAACGACCAAGGATGCCAACCATGGTGGTATAAGTGTGCCCATCATGCTTGAATCCTGCCTGCCTCTTTAGCCAATAAAAAAAGCTCAGAGCAACAGAATGATCTTGAAGTTGCTTTAAGATTTGGTTTGCTTGATATGCATCCATTGAACAGTTGAGATTTACAAGAGCCGCCTCTGCAGCAGGACCCCATCTCATCTGTTGCAGTATGTGAGAAACATTTTGAACAACACTCCCAGTATGCACAAACTGTCTGTTGATTGGAGCTATCCCTGTTGGCATTTTCATATCTCTTGTGCGTCTATTGAAACCTTTTGTGACACGACCCATACTCTCTGCATCAGAAGTCTGCACATTGGAACTGTAATTTGGAATGAAGTTGTTTGAATGCCCTTTTGATTTCCGTGGCATAGACCTTTTATCAAAAGTGTCAGAAGATGCAGTGTGAGCCACCACTGAGTTTTCCGTCCTAGTGTATGGAACATGATTTAGACCTTTAACAAAACTGGGTTTCTCTCCTTTGCCCTTTGAACCATGATTATTACTTGTATGCTTTGATGCAGCTACTGTCTCAGTAGAAGGTTTTGGATGAACACTAATGAAATGCTCTCTTTTTATTTGTTTCACATGCGAAGGCTTGATACCGGAGAGGGGCCTCGTGGGATCAACCATACAGTTCTGTGGCAAGTTAAGCAATCCAAGCCCATCTGATAAAGGAAGCTTACCATTTACTATATCAGACAGAAAATTTACAGCTGCAACTCCAGCCCTAGCAAACTGGTCTACAACAAGAGGTGATGAGTGTACCGCATCCGTGCTATTAGAATAAGTTACAGTCTCTGATCTCCCAAAAGATCTTGGGGCAGTTGTAACCTGTTTAATATTAGTTGTGTGCTCGACACTCTCAGCTTTATGAGAACTTGCCACTTTTACTGCATCTCCCGTGATGATGGTTCCTGCCCCTGCTGAAGGTTTGGATACCATGGTGGATGGAGTTTGGGCAAGTAGCCCTCCATTTCTTGTTTGCTGCCTTTGCGAAACACAAGTTTCATCTTCAGAGCAAGTGCATGAACTTCCTTCTGTTGCACTACATCGTGGCCCATTAAGGAAAAATGACCTCGCACTGCTTGAAAGATTACTTATGTGCTTTGCTCGCAACATAATTTACAGACACAGTATCACCTGCACAAAAAGAAAAGGATAGTGATTAGCAAAATGTAAACCAACATAGGAATATTTCTAACATCTCAAAAGTGAAAATGCTAGTGGCTGGCAGTCAGTTACAAGTCAGAAAGTTATCGCATCAAAGTTACATCAACACTATAAATAGATTATCCTAACTCTTAATACCTGGATACACGTCCCAAGATAAGAGTAACTGCTCCACAGGGAAAATATTATGCATTCCCCTCAATGAGAATTGAACTCCTTAAATACGCATTCTCCATAATACAATCAGACTTCATTTATCAATTTGTTAACAACTGTCTTGAAATCCTCAAAGTGCTCAGTAATCCCAAATCGAGGTTGCAGCATATAACATTCTGCCTGGTGATCCCAATATCATTGGCTCGTGTTTACTTTGATCCCAAAAAACTCTTCTTCAATCGTATTTACAAAACCACAACAAATCTTCATATCCAAAAGTACCTAAACAGACATTAAGAAAGAGTCAAACCGAAATAACAGCAGCACCCCTTCTTGCAAAGATTTTCTCTGCAATGACAGCTAGCATCTCTCTTGAAATAAATCAAATTGCTCATTCGTTTTCGCCTTCTACTGGTAAGAAGCCAATGTCTTAACTGTTCAATTCTGTAACTATTATATTAATTGAGACTACACTTACACTTTTATCTACGATCTTTCATTAACAGTTTCTTAGTGTTAGGATTTCTCTGTTTTATTTATCTTTATTGACAAGGGAACACATCAAAACTTATAAATGATCCACAACCTTCAATCTACATTCTACAATGGAATTTCTACCTTTCCACACACACATGAACATAAAGATTGAAACTTTCAAACCCGCAAAGCCACCTTCTCATGTTAAACAAAACAAAATGCCACGCGTATAGAAAAAGAATCAATTTTTGCCACATCTAAGAGTTTTCCAACCGACCCATGTCCTCAATCACCATATTCAAAGGAAAAACCACTTACCATTCATCCTATATACAAATAGTTCTTACAGAGAAAAACAGAACATGCCAGTGAACAAGAAGACTGAAAAAACTCATATATAGAGAGAGAGAGAGAGAGCGAGAGAGAGGCACCTACAATGGTGAACCGCCTTCTGGGTTGTTGATGAGTGTTTAAAGAGATGAAGATAGTAGAGAGAGAGGGGCGGCGGCTCTGCTCTCTCTGCCGTCAAGACTATAGCTTTTTTTTTTTTTCTTTTTCCAACCAAGTTGGGAGATGAAGGGCTAGAAAATCAGCTGTTTGTTTTTGCTCTTCGCCCTACTTTCTATTTCTCCTTACGTGTACTGCCCTTTTTTGGACACGTGTCAAGACCTTCATAGTTCGCACGTGACTTGAAGAAGGTTCTGATCAAAACCCCTTCTACAGATTTCTCGGTTCAGAACTATAGAGATTTTGATATTTTGGAATGATCCGGTGCGGCTATTGTCACCCATTCTTCGCCTCGAGAGACTCTGTTACGCTTGCTTATATTTAATTCAAATTTATTTCAGTATACAAAAGGAGAAAATAAGATCGGTCAACTTTTGCAGGAATGAGAAAAAAGAAAAGGAAACAAATAAATATTTTTCCTTGTTTTAGTCAAATTTCTTTTGGGAATAAAATGCATTGATGATGAACGTCCAGAGAATAAAATGCGGAAGAAGAAAAAAGAAAATACATATGTTTTTGCAATGGCTAAGTTATGTTATTAATGATTGTTATATATTTTATAATTTGATTGAACTTATAACACTGCGTGAAGTACCACGTTGTGTTACAACCACACCGACTGATATCTCGAATAATATAAATTCAAATATACAATTGAATAAAACTTCATTATTTTCCCCTTCAATTTTAACATTCAATTATCAATATTTTCCTGTGATTGGTAAAAATTATGCATTCGCTTCCTTAATTACCACTAGTTCTCAAATAGTCATTTAAAAATATAAAGGAAGTTGACCGAGGGGTTTACCTCAGTGTTGAGGTCCCTCCCCCGTCCCCCTTTGGTCACCTGTTTGAATCCTAAGACAACTGCCCCCTCCCAATGCAATGTATCTATTGCTAATTCTAATATATATATATATATATATATTATTTGAAAAATACTTCAAAAAACTTTTATTAACATAAGTATAGGCTCAGTATATATATATATATATATATAAAGGAAGTTTGTTATTGGCATTCTACAAAAATCGTGCAACTCATTCATAAAATTTCGTTGATCCAACGGTTATGGTGGTGCAACCGTAACTGGAAAGCTGATGCAGAGGCTGCACAGTAGCATTACTCATCAGACGACAAGTCGACAACCGGCGGTCAAAGACACATACGTTTGTTTTGTTTACCGGTTACAGTCAAATGTTCTTTGTTTTTATATTGGAAAGTATCAAATCTTCCTTGTTGCTCAAGCCAAAAATCTTGGTCAAATGGGTAATTTACGTTACTTTCCCAATTTTAACTGCTGTAATTACTCCGGTAATTACAAACGGATATGGGTCCCTCATCTATTTTCCGTTACTGATCTGATTTTATGACCTTGGCACAGCCTTGGGCCTTAGCTTCAGCCTTGACATCGGCGTGGGCCTCTCTGCAAATCATATAGTAGGCCCATATTAAAATTTTGAGACAAGACCCATAATAGTTTACTAAACTCATTTTTCTATTTTTGTTGTTGATGGGTTTGGATTATATGACTGAAGTGGAGAAAACTATTCTCCTCTCGATGCATACATGAGTTAGACCGATTAGTCAGTAAGCTCACCCTTTTACATTCAAGTTTCAGGTCTCAATTCTATTCATACTCTCGCCCATCCAGCAAACCAGGGCGGGATTGTATGTCGTCAACATAACAAACCCATGATTGGCACTAGGTTAGGCTTTATCGCCACCATGTGAGAGATTGTAAGTTTAAAACGGAATCAACAGCTACATAATCCTCATGTGATGTGCAGGGAGGAGAGGGAAAAAGGAAAGGGCTTGCTAGAAGGCCAGAGCTTATAGGTAATGAGTAAAGGTGGAAAGGCTTTCTTCCCCTCATGCACGTAGACAACTTTATTGAATTGAATAGTATTTGCGAGTGAAAAAAGAGAATGAAAGGCTCTGTTTGATTGTTGATGGAATGATTATGTTTGGTGATGGGTTCAAGAAAAGCATGTTTTCCTATTCCCAGCTCACCCCCCCACGCCTTCTGCATAAAGTATAATATTATAAACTTTTCAGCGCCCTTTTGTATTTTAATTTCAAAAAGCGTTGCCCTAGGTAGCCCTATTGTTAGCTGCCTATAGCTGGTGGAGGAGGGTGCGAAAAAGCCAAAAAAAAATTCTTGTAATAAGGATAGTACTATTTTGTTATCTCCGACTAATAACATCAATGACAGAAGTAGAGTTTGATGTTTGAAGGGGGCACAAGCTTAAAATTATGAATTTTTTTGTGCAATCTATGTCTATACTCTCTATAGAGTCAAGGGGGTGAAAATATGGTAGTGGGGGCCAGGTCATCTCAGGCTTGTGAATAGCTCTGCTCCTGAATAACACAATGACACGTTAAAAAATTAGCTCACATATCGTGTTATTGATTGGAGATAGCAAAAATTATTATTCTCGCATGATAATTTATTTACAAAGAAGGGTCCCATTAGTAGGGATTAAGTAAAGAGATTAATCAATTATAATTATGAGATAGCGAGCATATTATATAATGTGTTTTAACTTTTGCGTGTAGCAAAAGAGAAAAGACTTTTTGTATGTAAATATATTTTCCACAAGATTAGTACACATATTATGCATATTAACTAATGGTAATCAAATATACCAGCAGTTATATGACAGATGCTTTTGATTGTCGAACAAAAATGGCCCACAAAATGGGAAATAAGTCAAAAACCTTTTCCTTTTCTTCCCACACACGTATAATCTTGGAAACAATATAAAGCTACCTATGTTGGATCATCTAATCGAGCATGTTAAGTAATTGAACACCATCATTACTTAATATGGACCATTGATCTTATGATGATTTGATATAATCTAATAATATAATATGTTAAATATTTAACCTGAAGACCCTTGCAGGAAAATCTCTTGGAAATGCCGGAATCTATTCTTTGTTGGTGTCCACTATGTGTTCGGCTAAATGCCTCAAAGAGGGTTAAATTCAGAGTATTTGTTTTTTGTTTTTTTTTTAATAAAAAAAAATCTTTTAAATGTTGTCATTTTCCTGAAAAAGTCCTAGGCCACAGTATGTGGAAGTGGAACCCTTGACTATGGTATGAAAGCACCAGTCAATTTCAACACAGTTTTGTCTTTGTAGCTGGAATTAATAGTAGTGATGATAATGTTCATGGATCAACATCAATGAAACTTGTGATCTGGGGAGCCATGCATATAATTCAAGTCTTACATTACATTTCCACCCACAATCCCCACCCCAACTACTTAAGTGGTACTGCATTCAAAAGGATTAGTACAAGTAAAAGTTAAAACCCTTTTTATTTAATCACTTAATTTTGTTTCTTACTTGGAAAAAAAGTGATTTTATTGGCTTTCACCTGAAGTGCTTTTCACCTGTTCATTTTCTTTCAGGTAAAAGAAAGGGCTTGTTTGGAAAGAAGGAAAAACCAACATCACAGCCAGCATTAGCTTTTTGTAAAGAAATGTGTAAGCCATCATTTTATTGACTTTCATCCTCGAATCTTAAATTTTCCACATCTGCGAGCTTTCATGGACTTCTCTTGTGTTGACCAAGTCACCCACCACCACCTTGTTATTTCCACACCTCTTCTCCCTTTGCCACTTCCGGCCATGCATAGCCCTCTCATTTTTTATTTATTTATTTTAAATTTCTCCCCTAAATACTTTTTTGTTTTGTATTTAACCACATTTATGTTTAGTTGCACAACCAAACCCACTCTTAGACTAAGTAAACATTTGGGAGTTTCACTAAAACACCAAAAATGGGGGTTGAAATTATAAAAAAATTCAAGCACTATTTAAACATATAAACACACCCAAAACCCATCATTACACACACTTAAAACTCATTTATAAACACACAAAAAAAGTTGACTTTGGGGTTGATTTTGGGTGTGTTTCTATGTTTAAATAGTGCTTGTGTTTTTTTTATAAATACATGTCTAGGATTGGGTTTATTTATAAATTTGTATAAACATTTCAACCTAATAGAGAAAAATAAAGCACAACGTTATCCATAATTTGAGAAGAAAAATTCTAATAGCAATTAACTTACACCACATCATTCTCAACGATTGATATATAAAAATTTCGTAATTTAAGATACGCAAATGATATGGACCGAGGAGGGCCGGCATGGTTTAGTCTCATTGTTTTATAATCCATAACAATAATTTAATCGACTACATGGCAGTCAAATAGCTTAAAACGATGGAACAAGCATTTTTTTTTTCCTTACTGTGAACATGAAAATTAGTGAAGCAAGCACATGTAATTCTTTATTAAATTTAAATATTGATTTAGAAGACCGTAATATGTATATGCGGCGCTACCTAAGTGCGCCAATTGTAACGAATGAAAGGGCTAATCGTATTTAATTAGGCTAATACCAATTTTAATTTTTGGCAATGGACCGCTGACCAAGTCAAACGCTCGTAGTCATGCAAAGACTATAACTTGTCCACCGGTGAACCTACTACAACAACTAATGTCCATCGGATTCGAGCCCTCCACATTATACACCAATCCAAAAGCCTCACATCAACGGCTGAGATTATTTGGTGCCTTTAAGCCATTTTTAATTTCTTAAAATATTATAATTCAAAAGCCAATCATGCAAAGTGGTTGGTAGCTAAAAGATCCAAGCTTAAAGCTGACCTTTTTATCCCGAACCCCAATCAAAACCAAGATTAGAACTTTGTTGCCATTAAAAATTGTTCACAAATATACGTGAGATAGGCGGGTTGGTCAAAGCAGTGAGTCGATTCTAATAAAAATTGTTCACAAATATACGTGGAATAGGCGAGTTGGTCAAAGCAATGAGTCGATTGTCAAAATTTTTTGGCGCACCACCACAATCTAATATGTTCCCTCCAACACTAGATCCCCATCCAATTGCTCTCACGATCATATGGTAGACTAAAAGTGACAAAAATTCGACTGGCCGACGAACGAAGCATATGAGAAACTCAACCCGAGCTCTCTAATTTCCACACAGAGGATTAATTGATTAAATCCAAATAAAAAGGTTGTTAATTTATGTTTTTCCTTTTTCAAAAAGTTTCATTTTTCAGTTTTTTTGGGGTCTCTCAGCTGATCAGCGCGCGTTCTCTCTCCTT